CCGGGAGATGCTAAGCCTTAGACCAGTGGTTCTTAACCTGGGTTCGATCGAACCCCAGGGGTTCGGTGAGTCAGTCTCAGGGGTTCGGTGGAGGTTAAGACACACACCTGACTCATTGATTGTGCACCAGTAAAACATGTTTTGAATTTGAAAAAAATATTTTATTTTTCCCATTAAGAAGGGTTCGGTGAATGCGCATATGAAACTGGTGGGGTTCAGTACCTCCAACAAGGTTAAGAACCACTGCCTTAGACGATGCCGCTCCAATAGATGCACCTTTGTCACAGGCCTTTAATGACAAGAATGTGAAGTTGAACACTCAGTTCCTAGGTTCAACTTGCAGGGTAAGAGCGGCCAGTCTTTGTGGACCTGTGTGTTGGGTAGATCTCTAACCAGGAGCGAGAGCCAATAAGCTCCTAAGCATTCACTATGTTATCATAATTGCATTCATATTGTACTTGCTTAATTGCAATTCGTAGTTTTGTATCGTTTCTCGTCTCAAACACTCTAAGAGCATCCCCAAGTAGCAGCTGCCCCTGTGTGGCACAAGGTGGTGGCCCTGCCCTGGCCTGCATGTGGACAAGAGCCTGTCAGTAGGGGGCGATGGTTGATGTGGCATCTCAGTTGTGGAGTTTGTAGGTAATGTTGGAATTTGCTAAACTTTTTACCCAGATGCCAGCATGCAATGGCCGACTCGTTTGAATGGTGCATTAGTATGTTGTACATACACTGTTAAGCAGATGGTGCGTATTTTTTAATTAGCTTCTAGTTAATAGGATGTAACCTAATGCAGTATATTTCAGTGCAGTAATTCAATTTTGTTCATATGCCTGTCAATAATTTAGAATGAATACTTGTCTGATTGTGTGCGTACATGTAACCTTTTGTCTATAAGGGTCAAACATTGAATAAGTCATGTTAGGACACAGTGTGTGTTTTGCAAGTAACCTGGTCAGATAACTCAGGTGAGACTCATTGTTCTTGTGATACAGGTCAATGGGTACTTTTGTGTTTTCAGGAAGCATCTCCCTCTGGAGCAACTCATTGTCTTTGAAATAGGGAGCACACTCGGATCATTCATCTGTTACAAGGCATACCACTCAAAAGTTACACGTAGAGGAGATACATTCTTAACAACACGAATTATAATTTTGTATTACGTGTTGACGTAGATTTTGTCGAATTAGGACGAGAAATGGTCCTTGCCGATTAACGTCTGGATGTTCACAACCATGGGGTTGAAGCAAGCCTGATTGCGTGCGGTGCCCCTCAACCATTTACGGCCTTGGGCCAGGAAAGTCACGAAGAAAATTGCACACGAACGACGCATTCATGCAAGCACCCGATGCTCCCTTTTGAAGTTTTAACATGAAACAACTTTGAATTGTATATTGTTTTGCATTAGATAATTGTATTTCTTCATTAAAGCTGATATCATTTTCCATCTGGAAGACTTCATTGAAAACGACATTTCGTGTGAATTTTCTCTAGTCGTTAAGTAGATGGCCTTGCCGGGGTCGGTTCTATGCGGACTTTCACCTGGTTGGGATCTTGGGTGGAGATAAGGCGACACAGCTGGCCGTGCCAGAAGACCGCCGTCTGCATATTGATTCCAACGCGATCGAACGTCTGTCCCTGATCCTCCGTCGTTCATGCAGGGGGCGCGTAGGTTTGCAGCGCCCCATGCATGAAAAATAAGGAAAGTGCAGCGTTCATCACAGATGAGGTGCGCTATATAAGAGTACTCGCGGAAAGTACCTGGTGTGAAATTTCCCACCTTTATCGTAATATATAGGATACTAAGGCTAAGCACACCCGAGGATTGCACTTTTGTTGAAATATGAAGTTGCAAATATTTGTCCATTATGGCCAAAAACGGCATAGGTTAGTATGCCGATTTTCTATATTGGGACGTGCACATTTCATCATAAAATGTTCCACTTTTAATCTAATACATAGCATACTAAGGGTAAATACAATTGATGAATGCACTTTTTGTTGAAAAAGAAAGCTATGAAAATTTTGCTATTTTGGTTAAAACCGGCATAAGTATGACGATTTTATTTTTGGGACGTGAAAATTTAATCGTGAAATTTCCCACTTTTAAAAGTAATATAGAGCT